TACTGAGTGCAAGTTCTGTATATTTAATTTTTTTTGCTCTATATTGTCTTAATTCCATTAATAAATTTATTGTTTAAACCTGCTAAAAAATAACAAAACAAAACTAAACGCTGCTTATTTTTAGTATTTGTCATATGGCTTTTGTTATGTGGATTAGTTCCAGCATAAAGCTGATCAAACAAATTTGCTAATGACGGCTCAGTATTTCTCAACATATTTTTAAATTCGTCAGGATCTAAAATAATTTTTTGATTTTCCTTCCGTTGTTTAGCATACAAGACATTAGCCATCAACCGAATTTTTTCTTCTAAAGGAGTAGATTCTAAAAAATTAATCGATTATTTTAAATAATCAAAAATTGTCCCACGCATGTATTATAAAATAAGGGATATTCTATTTTCACTCGGGTTGAAGTCACCCGAAATATTACTAATACTATTAATTTTAGTCAAGTAAATGACATTATAATTTATCGGGTGACTTCAACCCGGTGAAAATAGGTTTCTCTAAAAGATAATACGTATATATTATATAATACCTAATTTAGCCTCTTTTAATTCTTCGCATATTTCATGATATGCTTTTTCTAGTTCTTTATATTGATCTTCCGTATATAGAACTTCACTTCTAAAAGCATAAATTCTATCATGAATTCTAACAAACTCCTCTTTAGTAGACCTGCTTGGATAAGGATAGTTCTGATATGACCCGTCGATATCACTAACATACTTACAATGATTACAAATCATAGCGTTAGTTGAAAGATTAAAATATTCAATTAAACGATTAGATGCTTTATCTAATTTTGTATCTTTTGAAGCTGATACTAAATACTCCCTGTGTTTGGGATGCGCACACCCCGCCTCTCTTATAGCTGTTTTTTGCCTTTTCGCTGCATTTACTATAAGATGGTTTCGATGTTTCCTACATAAGGCCTTTCCTACCAAGTCTAAATGAAGACTTTGTTCTGGAATCTTCACATTCTCAGTAATATATGAAGCGCCATTCTCTTTATAGTCACATTCGATTTCATCTTTGCCTTCAAAATCGCAGTGCTGGGGCTTGGGTGTTCGTTTTTTTGAGCTTTATATAATATATATTGTAAGAACGTTATACAAAGTGCTTAAAAGTAGCTCTCATTTAATTTTCGAATTACCTTGCCATTTTTCAAATTACTTTAGAGATAGGTTAAATAGAACGATATCTTTCTTGTAATATTTGTGGTGTAACTCAGAAATGCTTCCTTGTGGCCAGAAAACGATTCAAAGTCAGATTATCGGTAAATGTAATAGTAACATATATGGTTATGATCATCCAATCAGAATGAAAGCCCGCTATGCTCAGCCCTCCTTGTTCATAATTGTGTTGAAATGTAGAATATTGTGGAAGCATTCGTGAGTTGCTTTTAATCCAGCCCTTAATAAGAGAGTCAATTTCATTTAGTTGTTTTCTGGTTGGAGGAAGGAGGTAGGCTGAATACCAGATTTTTGAGACAAGTAGCATTTTGGTTGTGAGAATCTTTCCTTTGAAGGAAAGATTTCTCTGAGACAGCTCCTGAATTTTGTTTTTGATTTTTTTAATTGTATTGCTCCAAAGGGCCTTCCGATTGATTATAAGATTTTTTCTTGCCTTTTGCTTTTTGTCTTTTGGACACAACTGTGATAAAAGGTGTATTATCGTCAATCGCAGCATTAGAAGGTGTTGTGTCATTTTGAGATTCTATTTCCATTTGATTAGAAATATTTTTAGAATCGATAGCAGAAGTAGATTCTGCTTCTGTTTCTTCTGTTGAGCTAGAGATTGTAGAGTTACTAAGATCTGTTTCCATTGCGATTTCTGGTGTATAATCTTCTGCAGGTGCTTCTTCTAGAGATGCTTCAGATGCTTCTGTAGCTTGCTTGTTATCAGAAGATTCCTGATTGATGTATGGGTTTTCTTGACTAAAGCCAGCTTCTGAGTGAGTTGATGCGATAGATTTAAATTTTTCTCTAAATTCCTTAGCTTCCCTCAAAAGTCTTCTTGTTTCAATGGAAGCTTTAAGCTCTTCACAGTCTCTTTTAATATGGCCTTCTTTATCACAGTAAAAGCAGACTTTAGGTGCTTCTTTCCATTCTGTAAAAATTCTGTGATTGCCAATATGTGTGCTTCTTGGTATACGTGATGCTAACTCTGGATCATCTGTAGTTTCGAAGGTAACCAACCATTGATCCGTACAGATCGAGGTACCTTCGAAAAGAAGCGGTTTGATTGAAGCTATTTGTCCGACGTCTTGGAATGCCAGTAAAATACTATCACTGATGTGGGTAGTATTACCCATTGGTGTATTTTTGAGTTTGATAGTAAGAAAAGACCGATTAAGATTGATAGGGATGTACCCGAAAAAGGTTTGTTTGAACAGAGAGATTCCATCGGCTGCATAATGTTAGACCGTCTCTTTGTCTTTAAGTATGATTTTTAGAAAAGCTCTCTTTTCTCTGGACATGTGCGTCTTTGCTGCAATTAATTTTTCACCCAAAGAGGCAGCTAGGGCTGCAATTATATCATTTGTAGCAATATTGCATAAGTTGTAAATTTTGATAATGAGAGCATTTTCATTTTTAGAATGAATTTGTTGCCTAGGTGCTGATCTGATGTATGCTGCTTTTCCTCCTTTAAGCTTAGCAAAGAGGTTTGACCACTGTTTCGATTTTGGGTCAGTGTTGTGGATTCTTCCAGAATTGTCTGGTTTGGGGGATCTGCTTCCCCATGGGTTGAAGTCTCTGATTGGTTGTTGCCTAACACGTGTGGATTATTTTGTTTGTTGTTTATATCTGACGTGTCATTCACGTGATCTTGTTTATTGTTTATCTCACTTGGTGTGTTTACATGATTTGTTGTGCTTGAGAAGTCTGCACGTGTTTCTTGATGATTATCAGAATTTTCGTTCTCGTTTTCTCCTGCAGTTGCTTGTTCTTCGACTTGATTAGCCCAACTTGTATTGTGCTCTTTAAGAGTTATGTTTAGAGATGTATTAGCTTCTAGCTCAGAGCTACTGTTGCTGCTACTGCTGTTGTTGTCTGGTTTTGTGATATTTTCCTTGTTTTTTTCAACCTTTGCAAAGTCGAAAATTTTGTTGTTGTTTAAAGAAAGCCTGGCCTTCTTGTTGTTTAGTTGCTTACTCATGTCTAAAGTAATAAGTTCGTGCTTTCTGGACCCTGGGGGTCCTTGTCTCATCAGAGGAGTCGAAGATAAAAAATGAGTTTCTTAGTAAAATCTTGATTTCAGTGATGTTTCCGGAGATAAACCGGAAAGAGTTTTTATATATAAGAGTAGATTTGGATTTGTTGACCAATGTATTAGAGGCTTGCTCATATAGATAAGATTTCTTGTAGTTTGTTCCAGTCTGAGACCCGGCCGATACCAATTGAAAGGTCATCTGCATATGCTGCAACTCTAAAAGTAGAGTTATTAACTGGAATGCCATTAAAATTTTGGTCAATTGCTTGGATCAGAGGGTTGATAGCTAGTACGTATAGAAGTGGAGAGAGAGGATCCCCTTGTCTGACCCCTCTTTCAACTCTGAAGGCCTCTGAGATAAAGCCTGAGTCAACTATATGGGCCTTTTGAGTTGCAAATAAGGAGCTAACGATGCTAGTGAATTTGTTGCTAAAGTTCATTTGTTCTAAAACAAGCTTTAAGAACTCATGATTTACTCTGTCAAAAGCCTTTTGCTGATCAAGTTGAAGAAGCCAATGTTGTGCTGATTGGTCTTCTTGGTTTCTCAAGACAGTAATAATGTCTAAAGCAGTATCGATAATCGATCTTTTGGCAATGAATGCTTGTTGTACAGGGCCGATAATCTCATCGCAAATAGGATTAATTCTATTTGCTAGGATTTTCATAAAGATTTTTGCATCTGAGTTGACTAGAGAGATGGGTCTCCAGTTATTTAGGTTGGATAAATCATCTGCTTTTTTAGGAATTAGCATAATAAAGCTTTTGCTCCATGAGTTTGGGATTGTTCCTGTAATCATCACATTGTTGAATATTTTAGCAAGAATCGGAAGGGTGAGTTCTCTAGTATCTTTGTAGAATTCGTATGTTAAGCCATCTGATCCTGGGGCCTTGTTGTTAGGTAAGTTGCTAATAACAAGGCTGATCTCTTCCTCCGTGATAGGTCTTGTTAAACAGAGATTCTGTTCAGGGGAGATCTGTTTCAGATTGCTTGTAATTTGCAGTGCTGCTTCTTTATTGATATCTTCACTCTTATAAAGATTTTGATATGAGTTTTTGATGTAGTTTATTGTTTGCTCCTGTGTAGGCTCATTAGCAGTATTTGGCTCTTTGATTTTGGTACTGCAGCTTGTTGAGTATCTGGACTTATAAAGGGCGAAAAAGTACTTAGTTGATTTTTCACCTTCTTCTATCCATTTTGCTTTTGAGCGCAAGCGCCACTTGTCAGATAGCATTTGTAATTCTTCTTGTAGTTTGAGGTTTAATTCTTCTGAAACCAATTTAAGTTCTTCTAGGTCAGGATTCTTTGCTACTTTGTTATTGATATTGTTAAGCCTTTTTTGCAGTTTTTGTATATTACTTTCTGGAGGTGAAGAAGACTTGGTTGCTCTAACAAGAGATTGAATTCTGCATTTGCATAGGTCCCATTCGATAGGGTCCTAAAAGCTCTGAAGTTCTTTGGTAATATCATCTTTAAGTTCAAGGTTGTTCCAGTATTTTCTTTCGAACTTCCAGGAGGCTTTGTAGTAGTGTTTTGGTTTTAAGTTAAAAACACTTTCCACCAGCAAGTGGTCAGAGTTACCAAACCGAGTAAGCATATTGGTACAGAGGTGGCTATAATTAGCCTTTATAAAAATATAGTCAAGTCTGATTGCCATCTTTCGGTTGCCAGAGGTTGTTTGGTAGAAGGTAAGGAAAGGGTTTTCCTTAGAGAATAGAGATGTATCTGTATAATCTGCTATTAGCTCTTTTAGTAGATCCTTGGAGCGGTCATTCTGAAAAGTGGCTTGGCTGATTCTGTCTTTTTCCAGTCTTAAATTTGTATTGAAGTCTTCTTCTATAATACATATATAGTTGATGTCTGAAACCGGTGCCCAATTATCAAAGAAGTTGATTTTGTCCTCAATATTGGGAGGTGCATAAACATTTGTGATGAGAAAAGGCTGTTGTTTAATTGTAGTTTTTGCTACTGCAACCCTATCATTGTGTGTAATTTTGGTATCAGTGAGCTTAATGTTTCTTTTTCCTGCGAGAATTGCTACCTTGGAGGACCAGAGTGAGTCAAAATCCCATTGTTGAGAAAGAAATTTTCTTGTAGTTGTGTCTTTCAAATTTGTTTCTTGAATCATTATTATATCTAATTTATACGATTTTAAAAAGTGTAAGTGTTTTTTGTGCTTTGAATCTGTTGTTCAGACCCTTAACATTAAGTGTAGCGATCTTAATCATTAGATTATTGAAGGTGGGGCTACACTAAAGATGGGCATCTTTAGTGTTGATTCTTATATAGAAGGTGGCTCTGATGAGAGCTACCTGCCGGGCCTTCTGATCGTGTATAAGCTTTCTTTTTTCCTTTTCCTTTCTGTTTTCTAGATACTACCGTGATAAAAGGAGTATTGTCAACAGTTGTATCAGTGTTACTGGGAGCTGTTAGATCATCTTGAGATTCTACTTCCATTTGAGATGAGATATTGGTAGCAATAACAGGGGTTACAGGAACTGCTTCTGTTTCTTCCATCAGGTTAGAAGAGTTTGTGGAGTTGTTAGGGTCTGTCTCCATTGCAGTTTCTGGTAGCTGTTCATTTGAAGAATCTTCTGGTTTTTCCAGTAGTTCTGTAGTTGGGTTGTTGTTCGTGACTTCCTAATTAATGTATGGGTTGTTTTTACTAAAATCCATTTCTGAAGAGTTAGGACTTTTAGTTTTTGCTTTTTCTCATTGCTCTTTGGCTTTTTTTAATAGTTTTCTTGTCTCTATTGAAGCTTTAAGCTCTTCACAGTCTCTTTTAATGTGATCTTCTTTGTCACAAAAGAAGCAGACTTTGGGAGCCTCTTTCCATTCTATGAACACTCTATGGTTTCCAATATATGTACTTCTTGGCATATGTGAGGCCAGATCTGGGTCTTCTGTAGTTTCGAAGGTAACTAACCATTGATCAGTACAGATTGTAGTGCCTTCAAAAAGAAGATGCTAGATAAATGTTGTCACTGATGTGATTGGTGTCACCCATTGGGGTGTTTTTAAGCTTGATAGTAAGAAAAGAGCGGTTGAGGTTGATAGGAATATATCCAAAGAAGGTCTGTTTAAACAGGGAGATTCCTTCTGCTGCATAGTGTTGAACTTTCTTTTTGTTTTTTAAAACAATTTCCAAGAAAGCCCTTTTTCTTCTTAACATATGTGTTTTTGCTGCAATTATATTATTAGTAGCAATATTGCTAAGGTTTTGTATATCCAAAATGAGAGCATTCTTATTTTTAAAGTGAACTTGTTGTCTGGGAGTAGACCTTATGTATGCTGCTTTTCCTCCTTTAAGCTTAGCAAAGAGATTAGACCACTGTTTTGGCTTCGCTTCAGGGTTGTGGGTCCTATGGTTGGTGTCTTGTTTGGGAGCATCTGTATCCCCATGAGTTGAGCTCTCTGATTGGCTGTTGTTAGACACATGTAAATCATCTTGTTTATTGTTTACCTCCGATACGTGATTTGTTTTGTTTACAATTTCAGTACATGTTTCTTAGCTCTTGAGCAATTCTTCTGTCATCGTTTCTGTTGTTTCTTTGGCTTGTTCCTCTTCAACTTAGTTAGCCCAACTTGTATCAAGTTTATTGAGGTTTATATTTGATAACACTTTTGTTTCTATCTTGAAATTGCTATTGCTATTGCTGTTGTTGTTCGATTCTGTAGTATTTTCTTTGTTTTCTTCAACTTTTGTAAAGTTGAAAATTTTGTCGTTGTTTGTTTGCTTACCCATGTCAAGAATAATATGTTCGTGCTTCTTGGACCCCAAGATCCTTGTCTCGTTAGGAGAGTCGAAGATAAAAAAAGAGTTTTTAGCAAAATTTTGATTTCAAGTATATTTCCGGAGATAAACCAGAAAGAGTTAACTTTTTTTTAAAGTAATTTTATATATTGGCAAGAACTATCAGGCCAATTTAATGTTTTTACTATTTGTTGAAAGCTTAAGAGTGATTTACTTAATAAGAAAAAGGTTTTAGATTAAAGTACTTCATATTTGGCTTAATAGTAAAATTTACTTATAAAAATTTTTTTTTTTTTCAAAACGCGAATTGGCATACTTTATTTAGTAGAAATTATAATTACAAGTAGTAGATTTATCTATTTACAATTATACATTAAAATTTAAATAGGTAACTATTTTTTCTTGTGTTTGCTCTCCTGCGTCTTGTTTAAGACTTTGAGGCTTTTTTGAATCCTAGACCTTGTGATATGTCCAATTATATTTCCTGAAATAAAGTTATTATCCCATCTGGCTTGTGTGTACCATAACCAAATTTCATATATAATTGTAATATGCAACCATATCGCAGTTGTTTTTTTCTTTGGGTTCTGAATATTTGAGGCTGTAAAGACTTCTTCTAATGTTAGAGGAGGAATTTCCTCTTCTGGATTTTTAAGAAAACTGTATCCTTTATTCCAAATTGTTTGACTGATTTCGCAGTCTATCGCAAAATGTTTGATTGTTTGTCTTTCGTATGGGCAGTTAAGGCAGCTTCCATCTATTTCTCTACTTATATGCATAAGTCGGTACCCTAGTGGAAGTGCTTGATTCTGTAGTCTCCAAAAGATATCTTTCTTTTTATTCAAGATACCTTTGCTCGTCACCCATTGAAAATGTTTAGATAGTCCGTCCTGGATGCTTGCAGGTACTTGAGCAGCTGTTGGTTGAACTGAAGATTGTTTTAAATAGTCTGCTGCTTTTTTAACTGTAAAGTTATTGCCTATTTGTTCATGAATCTCTAGTTGAGAAATGTTCCATGGCCATTCATTTGTAGCCGTTATAGAACCTTTGAGTCTTTTCCAAGCTACTAGGTATGGTTTCCAATTATCGGGCCATCCTTTAAGCTTGATTGGGGATCTTGTTAAGGCTGTTACTACAGAAATGTTTCTTTTGCTTTGGAGTCTCTGAGAGATTATACCTCTCTCAATCTTGGCCCATGTATTATCTGTAGTCAAAAGTTTAATCCAGACAGAAACTAGCCTAGAATCAAGTATATCTTTGAGAACCGGAGCATCCAGTCCCCCTCTATTGTAATCTAGTTGATACGTTGAAAATCTGGGTAATAACTTCGATTTGTCCTTTATCCATTGTGAAATGAGATTGGTAATTTTGTTAAGTTGCTTTCTTTTAGGTGGAAGAAGGTAAGCCAGATACCAGATCTTTGATATAAATAAGGTCTTTGCTAGCAGAATTTTCCCCTTAAAGGAGAGATTTCTGGCTGCAATCTTCTCAATTCTATTCTTGATATTTTGAGTAAGATCTTCCCACAGGTGCTTTCTGGCCGTTCCTTTATTATTTACTTCATATCCAAGAATCCTAAGAGGTGTCTCGTTATTTGCTACTTTGAAAAGATTTTGGTTTAATAAACTAGTTGATTGAGCAGTATCCGTTATAGGAACTAGAATAGATTTCTCTCTATTAATTTTAGAGTTTGTAGCCATTTCATATTTTTGCAGCAGTGATAAAAGAATTTTCCAATCTGTAGAAGATCCAATTCCTACGGTTAAGTCATCAGCATACGCTATAGCTTTAAAATGTTGCTGCATAACTTGAATCCCACTAATTTCTTCCTGAATTTTAAGAATTAGTGGATTAAGAGCTAGTATATATAGTAGCGGAGACAAGGGATCACCCTGGCGAACTCCTCTTTCTACTCTTATAGGCTCTGAGATAAGGTTAGAGTCCGTAATATATGCTGTTTGAGAGCTAAACAGAGAGCTAATAATATTAATAAATTTTGTGTGAAAGTTCATTTTCCTTAG